TAGAAATAAGATACGTAGTGAGTAGTAGTCTAGTAGTTAGCAGTGAAGAAAGAAGGTCAAATGGTCAAATGGTTTAGTCGCCTTCAAGTTTGCCTTAGCCTCTCCTCGTTACTCGTTAGTCCTTGACACTCCCGAGCTTCATTGGAATCCATCATTCTCCTTCCCCTCCAAGTGGAGTTGGACCCATTCAGTCCATTCCCTTTTCTCTCTCTCTCCTCTCTCCCCATCTTTCCTCTAATACTAGTCATCCATCCATTTCACACTTCCGGGATTCCTCTTAACATTTTTTTGCCTCTGGGACCCAATTTATTACCCATCCGTGAAGGGTACCTGGCAAATTTCCCCGGGCCCAATATTGCGGGGAAAGGAAAAAAGTATGGGGATAACCATGGCTGCCCAGCGCCTTTCCCATTCTTGGGCTCTTGCGAAAGAACGGAACATTCTCTCTGGCTGTGATGTCAATTGACTTCCGATCCACCTTTTTCTGATGGCGTTTCGACCAATACGTGACCCCCAAATTATGGGTGAAGGAGGGGACTTGTACACCGTAGTAGACGTGATCCCTGGATGGGAAGATGGAGATCACAAGTCCCGCGGTGGCAATACTTTTCTCTCTCTCTCTCTCTCTCTCTCGTCTTCTGACTATTGCACAGGTGCACTCCGTCCTTATCCGGGGATATATCATCATGCATACATACGTATACATTATTCCAGGGCACCTCGTGGGTGATCCAGTGATATTCAAAATCAGAGAATTGAGTCTAAATCTGATTTGCACCCCGTAGATGCCACTATAGCTGTCAATGTCAATCCTCCAAACCCAGACCAACTGGTCAATTCTTCATCCGAAAGATGGGAACTGTCCCAATCAGGCTAGATCATCCTGACTCAGCCTGCACATGATGGCACTAATGTGGAAGTGGATTAGCGGTGGCTGACTGGGATGTCCCAAAAGAGTAATTCAGTCACGGGTCCCCCACTTGATGGTCGCCATCAGCCAATGGCTATCTGCCAATCACATTTTCCTCACAATTACTTAATTAAACCAATCAGGGCAATTGCGCCAATCAATTCGTCCATTTCCATCTCCATCTTCTCCCTCTCCCATCTATCTACTACTCATCTATCCATCTATCCCATCTTCCTCTCCCTCCACGGTTCAGCTCCATCGGATAGATGAATCCATTCGATGTTCCATGTTGTGACTGACTTTGGTTCCCTAGGCTTATCCCCCTCCCCACCCCCTTCCATAATCCAATGAGACAGACCCGTTCCAACGTCTGGTGGTTCCTGACCACCCCCCCCAAGGGCCGTTAGTTAACATAACGCTAGGGGCGAGGGGCCTAAACCCCCCTCTCTGGCCAGCGACTAATGCCGCCCAGCACCTTCGTCAGAGCTGCCTCTGCATCGCGGATTGGATGTCTTGGATGACTGCGGTTTCATCCACTTCCTCAAGGGCAGCAATCTCTTTCAATCCCCCCTGCTTCCTGTCGTCACAGCCGGTTTGTTGGTTCACCTGTACATGGCGCTTGGCCAAACACAATGCGCTTCTTCTTTTTGTTTGTTTCCAGGGTCCCTGGTCCTCTTCTCTTCTCGCTCTCATCCCTGCTCCTTCACAGCCTCTCTCTTTTTCCATAGCTTCTTCAATATATCTGAATCTCTCTTCTTTCTTCACGTGTGATCGAAATCTCACGCGTTTTTGGCCCTCCCGCCTCACCAGCCTATCCTGAAACGGGTGCACCACCTCCAGGCTATTGCCTCTGACATCTGCTGTCATGGCCTGCCCGTCTCCTCCCGGTAGAGAAAATCAGCAATGAGTCGGGCTTAGCATGTGTGTATTTGCTTTCTCCGACTGTATCCACGGCTTCCGTTTGTTCACTCTTTCCACACCTTCGTGAGCCGGTCATTCACTACTACTACAACAACATCAAGTACTACTGCTGCTGCTGCTACCATTGCCGCGGCCTCCCCCGCTCGTTTACGCGCCAGCGGCCTCAAATCCAGGGATTCCCTCTTTTTTTGGCACTTTATTATCATACCTGGTTCTTCATGCAGGCCACGTTCTTCTCTTCTTCCCCTCCTTGATCCAGCAAAGTACTTCTTGCGTCCTCCGGCCTGCGGGCTTGGCGACATGTCCAGGTCGAGCTCTGCGGTTCTCCATCAGAGTTCGAGATGTGCAACTAAAATTCCTCGACACTCCAATATATTTGTGTCTTCGGCGCCAGTAATCACCAGTTCTTCCTTCACCTCAGCCGCGTCCTCTCCCTCATTCACGAATTCGGTCCCCGCGTCCACGACCGAAAGCTCATTGTCCATCGAGCCCTCTCAGTCCAACACATCGCACTCAACAGCTGCAGCTGCAGCAGTTCTTACAGATGCCTCGACTACACCGTCGTTACAATCATCGGTTGTTGACTCGGTGGTCGAGCCTACGACAACTGCATCTGCGACCCTAGCAGATCCTAGCGACTACAATCTCATACAAACACGTACGGAGGATGGCACTCATTTCCATATGCCGGTATCGGCGCAGACAAGTTCATTATCAAGCTATCAAACACAACCGTCGACATCAGAATCCTCCACCTCTGTGCTAAGCTCCATAACGTCAACGACACAGTACCCCCACACCACCTCTACCTCATTCATTCCACACTCAGCAGTAACTAGCGCTGTCACTTCAGCCAATGGCACGTCGCATGGCTACATAGATCAATCGGATCATGGTGGCTATCACGCCTCACTGGGCGCAATCTTGGGGGGCGTTCTAGGAGGCGTAGCTTTTGTTGCTCTTGCGCTTGCAATAGGTTATTTCGTGATGCGTCACAAGCGGCGCAAGCCCCGTGACGAGCTGGCCACTGGCACGAGTGAAGAACACCTGCAAGATGACCGCAGTCCGGCTGCTTCCTCAGCAGGCTCACATCAAGTATATCAGTCGTGCGGGTCATCTTTCACCGACCACTCCTCTACCCCCTCCAGCCCTCTGCGCGCTATGTTCCCAGTATCAATTCCTGCCAAGAGCTACCAAGCGCGTCGGACCCCTTCCGGTCCAAACCTCCTCTCCGATGCAAACCCTTTCCTAGACTCTGCGGAGATCAAGTATGTGTCGCGTGGTAGCGGCGTGCCCAGCAACGCGGGGACGCTTCGCAACCCGTTCGCCGATGCAGCTCCAAGCCACACTGTGGTCATGCGGCAATCATACATGTCGCAGCGACCCACGTCAACTGCCTGGTATTCCATGCACAGTGATCGCAGCTTAGGGAGTACACTCCACCTACCTGGGCGGAGCAGCGCGGGTAGTAGCCTGCAACGACTCAGCTACCCGTTCACCGCGGCCGAGCTCGAAGCATGCGAGCCCATGGCCAGGCTAAGCACGCGCAGTGATCCTTTTGATCTGGAATGTCCACCCCACGCTATGCACCGGCGTAGTTCTACCGTCATACCCATAGGGCACGTCTAAATTACGGCTGACGAGGGAGAAGAGAGAAGCTTTTTGCTGCCCACACACAGAGTGTAGGACATGAAGAAGCACACGAGATAAATGCGACATGAGTCCACGCTATCATCTGCAATTAAGCATATGGTATTTCCGTCTGGGTCGTTGAAGGGGGGATGCGAAAAGAGCAAGCGGATTTCACTTCAAGATGACTGTATATGTATTTTATATTATGATTGGTGTTAGTTGTTATCAGATATGGCACACAGATGGTAGGTAGCGAAGGGTAAGTAAGTAAGGGTGCCATGCTGTCACAGCTGTATTTGTATGTGGACGATAATTACATGTGCAATTGTCGTGTGCGAATACAATATCCAATGAATTTCTGATTCGAATATGATGCTATTTACCATGCGTATTTGTAGTACACCATGATAAACTATAAAAAACTCCATGACATTTTTATTCAAATATATCTTCATATTCCGAACATAGTAACCAATACCACTACTAATTGGAAGTGTGAATGCAACACTTGTACTTAACAAGTACTAGTAGTCCAGCCATCACTCAGCTAACTTGGACTTATTACCAATAACCATCTCTCGACTTATCTACTTTCGTACCAATCCTCTACTAGTAGTATGCTTCATCTGTTCGACAAGTAATGATTTTGAAAGTGTGATGGTGATGGTAATGCCGGTGGCAGATATATATATATATATTCTAGTCCTCTACATCCGTCAGGCTATTTACTTAGTACTTACCCCCGCGATTCCCCACCACAACCGCCGAATTCAGTTTAACCTGAAAGTAGTATTACTCGTAGTAGGAAGCACCACTACTAGCTAAGAGAATATATAATGCATACTATCGCTGAGAGACCATTCAATATAATACTTACTTATCAGCACCATATAGTATGAAATTATATTCCTTCTAGATTATTCCAAACAGATACACAAAAAACCACTGAACCTACGGGTTAGTGGGGGGGACGGAGGAGAAATCCACACACAGACCAACGCAGATTCGACAGCCCGGAATTTTAGAAGAGATAAAATAGAAATAACTTAGAAGAGTGCATCCAAGTACAGTCCAGTTATGTAGTAAAGCAGAATTATGATTCTCCTAATAGAAGACAACAGGAAGAGACATGAAGTATTACTAGTAGCTGTACTGAAGTCAAGAAAGTGGGGATGATGGACTAAATCCATTCCACGCTGAATGAACTATGTGAGGGGCGGGCTGGTTTTGACGTAATTGAAGAAGAGATGGAGGGGGGGTTGGCTGCGATGTCAATAGTTTAGGTAGGTTGCATAAACTACACGAGATATACGTTCTGACCATTACAAGGAACCAACGTTGTGTGTTAACCCTCGGAATGATATTCAGGATGTGCGTTACGACATTACATGTTCAGTGCAGAGGTAAAGAAAAGAGGAAAGAAGAAGCAGCGGGTGCTTTGGGAGAAAAGCAGCAAGAGGGACAGATTAAATCCGGGCGGGAGTTGGGCTGGATTTGATATCGGATAGCAAGCAAGCAGTGCAAGGGCGAATTCTTTTTTTTTTTTTGCACGGTCCAGGAAAGGAAGAAAAAGTTGGCGAAAAGGATGAAGAAATAGTAAAAAAAAATTGGAAATTTCGTATCACACAAAGCGCCATGCCATTGTTTTGCTTTAACAGTTAGGTCTTTTTCCTTTTTTTTGCGTGGTCCTTTCACATGCTCTTCCCCGTGAAGAGGAAGAGACGGGGATGACGATGATGGTGATGATGGTGCATATCCTTGATCCCCAACCCTGTTCCAGGCTCCCGATACGATCCAAACAACCCCGTCCCGGATAAATCGAGCCACCGAGCCAGACCTGCAACGAACACGGAGTGGTCGATCAAAGTCCGTGGGCTGATCGATTCCCTCCCCCGTTTCAACCTCCGCACCGCCCAAGTTCGTTATCTGAGAGGATTTACTCCTGAGCCTCAGCAACGAGGGCGTTCTGCTTGGCCTCCTTGCGCTCCAGACGTCTCTCACGGAGAGCCTTGTTCTTGGCACGCTTAGCATCCATCTCCTCCTTGAGGACGCGCTCACGGTGACGCTCAGCCTTGGCCTTCTGGATCTGTAGTAGGGAAAGAGATCACGTTAGCCCCTATTCCCTCATCGTCCAATTAAAATAATCGTATAAACCCGTTCCGTCTCATAGTATCCAGGGTATATCGAAAGAACAACATGGCGGCGAAACTTACGTGCTCGATGAGGGAACGCTTGTGCTTGAAGGTGTTACCCTTGCTCAGGTGGTAGAGCTCGTGGTACAGGTGCTTGTCGATCTTGCCGGAGGCACGGTAGCGGACGAGCAGGCGACGGAGAATACGCATGCGGCGCATCCAGAGGATCTGGCTTTAATCCGATATCCATCAGCACACATTCGTTTCATCATTATCCCTTCGCAGATGATATCTCGCCGAGTCGTGGGCGACTGAGAAAAATCCTTGCAACGGTACTCAAGGGTGAGGACAATGTGCATACCTGGGCATACGAGCCTCCTTGGTACCCTTGCGCTTACCGAGACCACGGTGACGGCCGATGCGGCGGGCGGCGGCGAGCTCACGGGCACGGGAGCGGGAGTGCATGGTGACGGGCTTGCGGATGATGAGGCCATCGCTGACGAGCTTGCGGATGGTCTGGCGGGAGTTGGCGTTGGAGATCTCATTCATCTCATTGGGGTCGAGCCAAATCTTGCGCTTGCCGCAGCCCACCACGGAGGCGGCGAGGCGCTTCTGGGTGCGAAGGTTGACCCTGTGTGGTGCAAAAAAAAGCAGTCGGTCAGCATGAAGTCCAAACCGATCGGGGGGTTGTTGCTGCTGCTGCTGCGAAAAAGCGCCATCTTGAGGCGAATCCGGGGCGTGTGCACGGGGGAAGAGGGGGAGGATATACAGTCCAGCGACGAACAGTAATTCCCCCCCTTGATGCAGCAAAAATCAAGAGCTGGAGATGGACTCACATCTTGATGTCGGCGTATCGACGGTCGTTGGCGGATGATGTTCGTTGCACTCGTCGACGGGTAGAATTCCCAGGGCGAGGAGTTTGAGATACGGCGGCTGATTAGCTAAGCGGTTGTGTCTGCTAAGCGAGACCAGCAAAACCCTCTGTTAGGGTTCGTGCCCCAGACGCTTGTCCCGATCCGGGGAACACCGCCGGGAGCCGCAACGGCGCCTTACAGCATCCAGCTGGAACATGCTACAGATTCTGGGCTGATTAAAACGTGGTATGGATTGGAATTACTATCTATATCATCACACTTATTGGATGTTCCCCTTCTCAATTCACGCCTCGTCTTCTATCCGTCGCTCGGCGGTGGACCAACTCGGGCAGATGCGCCATTCCGGCTGGTCCACGTGATCTCCGCCTGTGTACTTGTGTTGTATCAGTTACGTATAGATGACTGAGGCTGACATCAAATCCGACCATGGAAAACCCGCGGAAACTCAAAACAAATGCATTGCTCATCTCATAGTATGTATCAACATGCTTTTCTTTTCATCATTGTAGTTGGAGACCACGTCACCCAACTCTTTCCCCTACTCAAACAGAAGGGTATAGATAGTAGCAGATAGAGAGAAGTAGATCTAAATCGTCTCAGTGTCTAGCCCACCTCGACACCACTTACTCATCCCCAAACGACCCATCCCCGAGATCAACCTTTCCAATGCTCCACAATTCCCTCTCATCCTCTACCTCATCATTGGACAGCCCCAACCCTCCTTGTCCACCTTCCGCTTCCTTGCGCTCGCGGGCCTGGGCGGCAAGACGGAGCGCGACACGCTTGAAGTAGTCCGACATGCTCCGCTTGGGTCCCGGTGGCAGCGAAGCTCCGGGTCCGGCCATGTACTTATCGAAGACTGCACCTTCGGATTCCTCCACAGAGAAGATCGCCAGGAATGCTGCCTCGGCCGCCAGCTTGACAGGAATGACCACGTCGCGAACGCTGGCGAAGATCGGTGGCGCCAAGAGGGCCAGGTGAGGCCGAGTCAACTCGGGGTGAAGCCGGCTGACCGTGCGCATCACTACCAGAGACAACCGCCGCGTATCAGACGGCGTACCGGGCTGAATGCAAGGCGCCAAGGCCTCGAAAATAGCCTTGTTGTCTTCGAAGTTGCGATTTTCATCCTCGATCAGGAGGTACTTTCCGGCAGCGAGGACGCTGTTGTCGGAAATGAAGGGCTGCGTAGGATTAGCATCATTTCTCGAATAGCCTTCGAACCTAAGTACTTACATCCTTGTTCGTGACACCCTGGCAGATCATAGCCTGAGTCTCCGCGGAGAAGTGCTCCGTCAAGGACGACGGAGCCTCAACCAACAGGGCATTGAGACCCAGAATCGATGCGTGGGAAGGTGTGGCAGCGAGGACCCGGTTCTTGATCAGTGGGCCAGCAGTGGCGGCCGGGAGGACCTTCACTAGTGCACCGAGCAACTTCGCATTCGTAATAGCGACAGCATCAGTTTGATCACTGGCATCGTCGTCAATAAGAGCGAGAATGGCGTTCTTCGATGCCTCGCTCATGTTGGCGCCGGCCTTGCCTACCACCTCTTGAAGAGCCTTCATCATCGCGTTTCTCACACCGACATCTTCCGTCTTGGTACCCGTGATAAGCTCTGCAATGAGAGGGTCCACACGGGGTGTCAGGGTGATCAGGATACCAAGACCCTTGGCGGCCCTGTTACGCAGAGTCTCGCTGGATGCATCAGCCAAACCACGTGCGAAGGTCCGTTGAAGCTGGGGCAAGAAGGGCTTGACAGCGAGGGGAATCTTCTCCAGAAGCTTGTTGAGGGTGAAGAAGATAGCGCCTAGTGTAGCCGATTAGTATGAAATATATTTCAAGCAGAAATAAAGAAAGCAACTTACATTTAATCTCCACCGATCGCTCGGACACAACACGAATGAGGGGACCAGTGATCTGGGTCACGAACAGCTTCAGAGAGTCTGCGCCAGTGCGATCGATGATGTCGCCGATGGCGAGAGCTGCCTGCGTACGCTGCTCGACGCTGCCGTTCAGAAGACCTTGCAAGAAGATAGGCAGAATGGCTGTGATACCCTTGGGCAGGCTGAAGCCAGGAAGGCTGGCACCCGGAACTCCGACACTCCGCAAGGTCTGGCGAGTGGAAATGGTAAGGACTTCCATTTCTTCTTTGCGCAAATGTTTCGTGAGTCCACTGAGTGCCGTCCACGCGGCCTTGACGACATCCTTGTCGCTGTCATCGAAGGAGATGAGCAGGACACGGATCAGATCCTGGTGGTACCTGGAGTAATCGATCTCTGCATTCGAGAAGAACTTGTCGAGATGAATAGCCGCGGTAGCACGGCGGTGATGGTCATCATGCTTCATCAGAGTAATCATGACGTTCATCATGACATTCAAGCCATCGTACTCGTCCACCGAAACCAGGATCGTGTCAAAGGCATTGCTCAGTTCTTCGCGGTGAGCCTCGTCCTCAGTGGACACAATCTCGTCCATCAAGGAGTTGAGGATGGTAGGCAGCTTGCGGGTCATGGCAGAGCCGGCGACTTCGGCCAGGGAAGCAAGTGCCTTCGCGTTGAATGTGGAAATGGGAGAGGTGAGGAGCGTCGGGATAAGGTTGGGGAGGATGATATTCGCGCGGGTCTGCTCCGTGAGGAGGGTCAAAAGTGCGGACAACGCCTGCTCTGCATCCTCGTTGTTTCTCAGAAGAAGCAAGAGATGAGGCAGGACCTGGTCCACTGCCTTCTTGCCCAGGATCTGCTGCAGGGCGTCGAAAGCCTCGGCTGCAGCCTCGCGGACATCTTCGTCATTATCAACGAGCGCCACCCGAACCGTCGAGATAAGAACCTTCTCGTAATCCTCGAGGGCCTCGGCGGAGGCGGAAGTAATGAGTTCTCTCAAAGCAATGCAAATACCTTGCTTGACATCCACGTCGGGAGAAGTCTGGAGACCTTCTTCGAGAGAGGGAAGCAGAGCAGAGAGAACCGACTCGCCAGCCTTCTTGATAAGGTCACCAAGCGCGTTGCTAGCAATGACCTTATGCTCCATGTTGGAGGAACCGAGACGGCGAATAATGAGCTGAGACAGAGTGGGAACCATGTCCTTGAGCGTCTTAGGAGAAGCAACAAGTGACTTCCAGACGGCCATAGCAGCGCTCTTGACCATACCCGAAGTATCGCAGCGGCAGATAAACAGTGCCGACAAGACCTTGTCCCTCCTCTCCTCTCCGAGAACCTCCAGCAGCGACTGTCCAGCTTGAGCCGCTTCTTCCTCTTCCTCCTCGGCATCGGCCTTGGCTGTGATACCAGTGAGACTGAAGAGAAGATCACCAACCAGCTCGACGGAGCTCAATCTGATGCGGTAACTGTCATCCGCAAGACCGCGCTCAAGCTCTGGCAGAAGGAGATCAATGGCCTTCGATGAGAAGTTCTTGACGAGCAAGCGACCTGCCTTGAGAGAGGTCTCACGAATAGATTCGACGTCGTCAGCCAAACCGGCAAGGATAGGAGGAATGATTTTGCTGAGATAGGCGGCGAAGCTGTTTCCGAAGCAGGCGGGAAGGAAGATAAAGAGCGTCATAAAACCCTCGCGAACAGAAGCCTTGGAACTGGACACATTCTGTAGAATAGTAGGCAGCGTCTCCTCGAGTCTGGTTGTACCCAGACCTGCCAGAACCTCTGAAAGAGCTTGAGCAGATCCCAGTCTGTCGCCGGCTCCGGTATCCGACTTGAGCGTAGACATGAGGTTGGGAATGAGGTCGGGAAGAGCGTCCTCTCCAAGCTTTTCGATAAGGGAACCGAGAGCCTTGGAAGCGGTCGCACGAGTAGTCGGCACAGGGTCGACGATAGCAAGCTGCAAGCCCGAAACAATGATTGGCAGATGGGCCGTGAGGTCCTTGCGCTCTGTAAGGTGAGCCAAACTGCCAATGATCTGAGCAGATTTACGTTTCGTATTCGACCTGTCGCCAAGACCACGTTCAAGAATGCGAACAACAAGAGCCAAGGACGGCGCATCTAGATAGTGGACGAAGGATACCTTGATGAGAGAATCCAGGGCCTCATCGGTGTACTTGGTGGGGTCGCTGAGCGCCTTCAGAAGTACATTAACCAAGCTCTTGACTTCAGGGTTGCTGATGACTTCGCCGAATCGCTGAAGACTGCGGTTTGCAGCATTGCGCACTTCCTTGTGGGTATCATTGAGGACCACAGTGAGCGGAGGGATAATGTCTGGAAGGCTTGCCGCGAGTTGCTGGGGATCGAGGTAGGCCATCGCTCCCAAGAGATCACAGGCTCCCTTCTGACTGCGCCATTGTGTGTCATCAAGACCATCGAGAAGGGTGGGAAGAATTTGCTTGACACCATACGAGCTAAGGTTCGAGAAGCAAGCCTTTGCTGCATCAAGGCAGGCAGCACGGACGTCGGGATTGACATCACCGAAACCAGCCAGAAGCTGGGGAACAATCTGGATGACATAGGGCTCGAAGGTCCGTCCAAGAATGGCGGCAAACAGCTCATATGCCAACAGAGCACCTTGTCTCTGATGAGGTTCCTTCTTGTTCTCAGTGGCATCACGCAGATGCGACATGACTTGGAATTCTCGAAGGGTGACAATACCCCTACCGCTGACGATACCAGCAAGTCCATAAGCCGCGCCACGCTGTGTAGCATATTTCTTGGACTGCAGCAGCTGATCCAGCATTTCTTGGACGTACTCACCACTCTGAGGGCGAGAAAGGCGGATCAGAGGCGGCAGACATCCCGAAACGGCAGACTGCACACTCTCCGAAGGAGTAGGAAGAGTGTCCAGCAGCCTCTTGATGACTGTCTGCAGACGCGTATCGTCCGCTTTGAGATGCTGGGCCAGGGAACCATACAAAACAACAACGGCCTCGTTAAGAAGATCAGACGTCTCACTTCCTTTGTCGGAGGTCTCCAAGGTTGTCTCCAAGAGCTTCATTAATTCCTCGACCTTCTGTTGCCCACGGGCAGCAATGACAG